GTTTTAGGTTCAACAGTCGATTTTCGTCGCTTTGYGTCGGGTGTTTTTGCTTGCAGTTGTGATGTTGAGGAGCGTGATGTCTTAACAGATTTCGGTGTCTTTGGTGTTTTTGGTGTATTCAAGGCCGCCAATGCCATGCCGTTTCGTTTTTTTGGTGTATGAAAGCCGTACATATTCTTGCCTGCTACATCATCATCTTGTAATAACTGAATGTCGACAATATCAGGACGTGCTGCAGTATTTGTCATACAATTTTTATCATCATGTTCAGCAGTTTCCTCGTCATCAGTATAATTCTTTCGTGTATTGCTCCTCTTGCTAGGTAGACTGTCGGTTAATACGTAGTCTTCGGCATATTTCTTTTGTGGACTTGGTTTGCGTGCTGATCTCCTCAGTTGACGCCCTWTAGATGATTCATTTTCCTCATCCGAGTCGTCCACTGTTACCATGACCACATCTTCGGTACTGCTTAAACTAGAACTGCAACGCATTCGTCCTACTTTTGACGCTCTTCGTTTCGTTGGCGTAACGCTCATTCTTAAGACTTTAGTTTATTAACTTCTAAAATTCACTGCTATATTAATTCAAATAAAGTTATTTCATAAAACATGTAACCAAAATTAATAACTAATAACAAAAACGAGCAGATGTTTAAAATGTTGGTGTTACTTTGCTTGTACAGCATTTTACGCGGGCAATATTGTTGGTGTTTGACAGCACAGCTGACATTTTGTGCTTCTTCTTGCTCTAATTTATTCACCATAAAGCAAATATTTATTTATTTATTAGCAAAATTATGTACATAAAATTAAACATAATTATCTYATCTACTTAATTATCACAATGGCCATTATGATATAAAGTTAGTTATGAAAATATATCAAAATTAATGAAACAAGTACATATTTAGTATTTATTTTTTTGGGGAGGAAGTCTCTTAATATATGGAGAAGTGAGTATTTCACAGACTGGACACGATGAAAAAAAGAATTCTGTGTTGTCTCCTCCGGGCCCCTTCACAAAACGTCCTAAACGTTGCTATAAAAATCTCTTAATTTTGCTTAGKTTTTCGGGGAACTTCTTATCCAACAACAAATACATAACCGTCAACGGTTGTTGAATTGGTTAAATACAATAAAAGGTTTTTGACTTGGCTAAAAGTAAACAAAAGGCTCATTGGCCTTATAAAATGTAAACAATTGGGTCATTAACCCCATAAAAAGCAAACAAAAGGGTCATTGACCCCATAAAAGGCGAACGAAAAGGTCATTAAACCTATAAAATGTTAACAAATGGTCATTGACAGCATAAAATGAAATGAACGAATATAAGAAACAATATTATCCAATGTTTGCAGAAAATACCTTGAAACTTGATTTTTTAGTATTTTTAAATAGTATGTGAAGTCATCTTTTGACACTTTCCCAAATATTCTTATTATTTACTTAAATGAGAAATCGAAGATTTTGCACCAATTCGGCAAATGTTTTTCCAGAAAAGCAACAAAATTCAAAAGCAATCAATATTTATCCTAGTTTTGCGTGCCTTTCAAAGGAATCGCGACGCATCAACTAACTTTTTTAATAGATTAATCTTATTTCTAATTCAAGACCGACCACCTATTCCCACGTGTTCATTGCCTTACTTTCATATATTCCTACATACTTGTAAACGTACGAGTATTTCGTCCATCCATCTTTGCCACAGTAGTCACAGCAATCATTTGGAGAAATGCAAAATAGCCGCAAGCCAATAATACACATATATATACGGATTATATGCATAAGTATATTATATACATTTATATGTGCATATTTACGTCATAATGACAAAATTAAAAAATATATGTAGCTAACGAAAACAATATTTAATAAATTAATGCGATTAGGTTAAGAGTCGTTTACATATGCATATATATATGTACATAGGTGTGTTCGAGTGTTCATTGCTAGAAAATCCTCATCGAAGCATTACGTTACAATTTAAGACCCGATTAACTTACATATACATACATACATATCTATAGTAGTCGTTAAGGAAAATGCGGTATTTGAGAAGATTACCTCTTTAACTTTGAAATACACAGACTAGATTTGAAATAGAAAGTTTGTTAATGAAAAAAAATCTAATTTTTTTTAAGGGATTTACCAATTGACAAGGGTCCGGTGGGTTTGTACAATTTTTGTCATTGTGGCTTTCAGTGCTTAGTCAGCTTATGAGTTTGTGTAGCACTCTCATACCTTATCTAATTACTCTTAATTCTCTACTCGAACGAGTCAAACAAATCAAATATTATTCGGTTTGATTCATGCTTAAGAGGAAAAAGTCATTCAAACAGAAGAAGCTTTGTCAAAAATTGTCAAAGGTTATGACAATGAGTGTACATTTCATAGAATACTAATTTAATTTCAAACAATCATACTATGTCAAATGGTGATAATAGGGGTCTCGTACAGTTTAGTTCGTTGAATTATGTAATACCTTCTTAAATCAAAAATTGAAGATATCACACCAAAATTAGCAAAATTTGTTTGAACCCGAGAGTTATTTCCGAGAACTTGAAGAAATTCTTGTCAACTTTGGCAAAGGTGATAATGACATTCAATGTCATTAATGTTTGTTAAATATTTCCGAAATATATCAATTTAGTTATATGTTGTTAATATATTTAATAGAGCTGTACAATTTGATTTCTTTTTTATACGACCCAACACGTTCATCTGCAACAACTAAGTATCGGGTGGTTTATAAGAACCGAAAAAATGTAATTAATATGGTAAACTTAAAAAATACAATAAAAATCTTAATGCATAACCATTGGCGAGAAATGAAGGAGATAGCGGAAAGTTTAGGCACTTTAACAACGGGTGTTTGAAAAGAAAGTGTGAAATAACAGTAGGAAGAAAACTTTCAGTATAGTTCACCTGAGTGCTTTACGAATAACATCGATTGTAACTCGGTATTTTAAATTCCACTCAATCCATTTTTACCCGCACGACGGAGCAATGAAACCAGTGATGTAGGGGAATGTAGCATTCGACCCGAGAACAACTAAGGTCAAAAAAACTGAATTGGTGTTTAAATAGCTTATTTCGCCTTCATTATGGATTATATATAGACTCGCTCTTCTATCAATCTGAAAAGTTACTTGGTCGTATAAAATTTTGTAACAATTAAGGCGCAGTTAGAGTATACATCATATAGATACTAGAAGTTTCTTAATATAATAAAGTCATCCACTCTTTCGGAATTGTGAATCTAGTTGAGAGAGTCGCATAGAATTGCACTTTCGAAATCTTTAACACATGATTGGTAATCGGTGTCGATTTATCTGTATGAAAACATTTCCCTGATCTTACATACTACAAAAATATAATCACTGGTGGTAATGACATATGTATGCACTTTGTACAAAAAGTATCTAGAATTTTTAACGTTTATTTAATTTTGGCTGTATTGCTTGGSCGCGTTTTGCTTCGTCTTAGATTTGAGCTTGTTCCAAAGTGTAAATCAAAGTATTTGTAGAAAATTATATGTGAAAAACAARAATAAGTGCACGGAATGTCACCGCGAATGTTCAGGAGATGTTGAATTCAGTTTGCGACCCAGCTCTCTTCCAGGCGACACAACTGATGACGAATCATAGGTTTATGGTTGCGATGTGGATACCATAGCTCAATCGTCCCAATGGAAGCTGCCGCATGAGCCAGGACCGAAGAAAAAACGTGCAAGCTTCGTTCCAAGTATGCCGGATTTCTGGAAGAATAAAAATTGGCTTTTTCACCAATGATAACGCTCTTGCTGACGTATCGTTGCTTGTGCGCGAATATTTGACCAAAATCCACACATTAATGATTCCTCCGATTCGCCAGACCTGGCTGCCTGTGACTTTTTTGTTGCCAAAACTGAAGAGGCCCATGAAAGAACGAAGCTACATTACGATTGAGGCTAAAAACTGCTAAAAACTGAAGGAGGAGATAAGATCACAAAAAATTATTTTTTAAGTGCTTTGAGGATTGGAAAAACACTGACAAAAGTGCAACATTTTGAAGGGGACAAAATAGATCTTCATGAATAAATACACACTTGCTTAAGAAATATAAAATTCGTCAAACTTTCAAAACAAACCTCGTATATATATCAATTTGCATATTGAAGTCAATCCATATCTTATTGTGCATTAAAATTAAGAGTACTTTTGATCCGTGAATTTATGACCAACTATTCTTACGACAAATCTCTTCCAGGCGCTTTGGTGCGCATAACAAGCATATAGCATTATGTCATTGAGGGTATAATGAAATAGAATTGCGTGAAATTCTGTAACTCCTTTCTGTGCGTCGGACACCAGCTAAGCGCAATTTATTGTCTACGCAAAAATTATCAGCCGCTGGCATGTACTACCGGTTGGCAAGTACTTATAAACAACCGCTGGCAGCAACGCGACGTTGGAGCCTTAACAGCTGGTCGCTAACAACGACAAACGAGTGGAAATAACAACAAAATGGCATATTTTATGCCGAAGCTATGACAACTGTTGCTATCATCAAAAGGAACGCTTACAAGATGTTTCTACAGTACTATTCTTTGTGGTGCGTATGTTCGTATGTGCACTTACACACGGCTAAGTGGTAATCTGCTCACGCGCGCAATCGCACAGCGGCACATTTCCACCAGACGCAGCATGTATTAAACCGTATTTTTATTAATTTATTTGCATTTAATATCATTTGTATTTTTGTGCGTCTGTCTATCTGTATGTGTGTATGTGCTTGTGCGTGCATAGCTAGATTTCTCGCCAGTGAAAGAGTGTATTGACGCCTAGCGAAGCGTCCGAAACCGGCAACAACTGGCGTTGCGCATACGACAGCGCTGTCCGCCCAGTCCGAGCGGTTTGCCAACAACCGAGTCAACGGCAAGCGCGCGCTCGTGTATGCATGCTCCCGCTTGGCTGGCCGTTTGCTTATAAGTGGCCGGCGCGCTGTTGAGAACGCTTCAGATAGACAGTACCTGTGCGTGGTGCTGGTTGTGTTTTAGTTAATGTGTGGCGCTAGTAAATAGTARCAGGGCTCAAATAAACGCAGCATAAAAGGCGGTGCGCGCACGCGACTTATTACTTATATGTACATACATACATACATACTTTTTGGTGTGAATTTTCGTATGTTTCCTAAATTGTGCCTATAAGTAGTAATAACAAAAAGCCTTTTGGTCAACATTTTGCTGTGTTTTCGTTCGAGTAAGTGTAAGCAAACGCAAAACCGGAAAATTTGTGATTTCTTCYTTAAATTTTGTGTTACAGTTGTAGACATTGAATATCAATTCAAATGTTAATGCCATAAATTTCATTAATTGGAATGTGAAAGTACCCGCCAAAAAGTGCAGTGAACACATTAAATATACATATATGTATATATATATATTAAAAACGCAATTTTGAACTCCAGTAACGAAAACAGGAAGTCTAAAATCGAATCAAAACAAAATATAAATTTACAAGTGCTAAAAAAATTAGCACACCAGTCACGGAAAAGTAATCAGACTGATTTTTATTGAGTTTAAATAATCAGGGAGTTGAAAATAATTCACTTACGTTCCGCTTTAATTAAAATGAAATTTATTCAAAATTATTTTTTCACTTAAGCTGAACATTTTTTTTCTCAAGAAATTAAATATATAAATATATATTAAAAAATACACATTGTTCTCCCAGTTCATTATTATTAATAATTTCCAACTATATTAGAATTTTTTTTTTTTTTTTGAAACTGGCTTATGTTCAGAAATTTATTTATTTATGATTTTTTCACTTTTAACACGGTTGCTTTTTCGTTAAAAAATTTGCAAAATTTTATAATATATACATATATATTTTTTGAAAACTGTCTTATTCTCASATTTCTTTTTTTATTTATGAATTTTTTTAGTCTTAACACAGTTGAGATATAAACTATCCYATCTTTTAAGTTGGATCAAAAAGGACAGAAAGTGTAACATTTTAAAAAAATTGGTTCAGAAGTTTAGAAACCCCGCGGAAAACGTGACATTTTACATACATACATATACAGACATTAGCTAGACATTTGGACGAACTTCTACACACGGAGTGCTACAAGTCAATATTATCCGACAACTGGTGGAACTTACAAGTTTTATGCCAACAGTGAGCGGTTTATAATTTGTTTCTGATTTTTTTTGTTTTKTTTTCTCTACAAATGTGGCTCTCGGAGACCTTAAATTGTCTATGAATAAGACAAAGTTTTTTCTGAAATTTCAACATGTCAGATCCTTGTAATTTAATTTAAATTAAAGGTGTCAGGTTCACTGGTAGTTAAAATTATGTGTGTGGATGTGGTTCATTTGGCATCAGGAGTCATGTCTTGAGTGCTTTACTGAGAGGAAGCATGTAAAAAGAAACATTTGAGCGGTCTCAAGTCAACTGTTGAACTATTTGAAGTTTTTCGGAAACCATTAATATTTGATATTTACGATTCTGACTTAAACCTATTGAAAGTCATGACACACTGACGAAAAATAAAGGTGTTACAGTATTCAACTATAATCCAAGATTTCGTTGAATTATATTTAACTACACGAAGAAGGGGTATTATAGGCAATAACTATTGGTTGGGCCCCATAAAATAAAAGGTTTTCAGCGAATCAAAATGTTTCCTTCGTACACCTCTACTTCTACGGTATTTCAGAGATTAGTCTAACACTATCGAATTACAAAAACCGTGTGATTCAATTTTAATTAATATTGTCTGACTTAATTAGGCCCACACAATAGTAAAGGTCGCCTTAGAAACTGTCAGGTTTTCATAAATTCCTTTATTATATTTATAAAATTACATTATTTATTTTTAAAACACAGTTCAAACGGAGATAACCTYAAAGAGTGAACTTTGCAATGAATATTTTTTAAACGTTATCTATGACTTTTATATAAAAGTAATTTGTAATCGACTTAATCAAAATCATTAGCCAACTTTCACGTCTCTAMTAATACACGGCCGCAATTGATTTACCCCTCACCACTCTCTTGCAATTTTCACAAATCGATATTAAATTTGCCATATTTTTATCTAATTCACTCTGCTGCTCATATGTAAATTTCTGCAATGACATTGTTGCAGTACAACAGCAAATACAACTACGTAGCTATCTGCGTATGACAATTTTGAACTCTCTGCTTAGATTCCGCTCCCAACCCACTTGCATTACATAGTTGCATTTTCGTTGCACATCAATTATGAGCAAGAAGTCGCTTGCAGTTACCGTTAGCTAAGACAACCGTCGCCGGTAAATAGTTATATATGTATGCATGTGTGAGTGTTCACTCATATCCTCGCTTCCTCCGTACCACACTCCTCTCATCATCGTGCTCTTTGAGTGTTTAATTAGGTTGTGTGAGCGCAAATTTTAAATTCGATTTTGATTGTCTCCAATCAATTGCGGTCAAACGGCGCTGAGCGTCTATGGTATATAAGAAAAAAAAAAAAACAATGTTTGTATAAAAACAACAAATACCACTCTATTTCAAGGCATTTACTCCTATACTCATAGTTAGTATCAGCAACAACAAATAGGCTAGAATAGGCTGGTTTTTGCATCACTTTTGGTATGTTTGTTAGAACATATGTATTACCTTTGAGTTTTTTAGTTACACTTACATCGAAGTTACCTTTGACAATTTTTTTTTTTTTAAATAATTTATTAATCAATATGAAATTTTTTTCAGTGTATAGTAGTTAATTCTAATGGCTCGTATTATTTTCTACTAAGCACCATATATGGATACACAATTATATCTTTACATACTTCTAACTACTTCTTAAGTATTCTCGAGTTGATTTAAGCGTACCTATCTACGCGATCTGCTAATATTCGCCAWGGTAAGGGTTTATGAACGACCTTGAAATGTGAATATACTATTGGCTAGTAGGAAAATATATTTACAGGGTTTCCATATTGTTTTTTTTTTTTTAATAAAATGTTGATTTAGGTTACTGATTTCGTATAAAAAACCTTTAATTCCATTACGATTGTCATCACTCCAATCTCAGAGAGCTTCTCATAAACGTTAATCAACTGATCGAAAGGTGGCGCAAAGCTTTAGCATTCTAAATTTATCTGATAATATAGAAATGTGCAAAATCATGGTAAAAAATTATTATATTTTTCGTTTTTCGAAAAATATTCACTGATWGCTAATTCATTAATTTATAACGCTTTTTAAGAGCTTTTTTTCTATTGTAATTTCATTGACGCTGGATGTACATGGGTTTCCTCGGGTAAAAAACAGCCTTTTTTCTATATATTTTTTTTTTGAAATGAAATAGTTTAATTTTTGAAATAATTTGAAATTCTGAAATTTTTGAAAAAAAAACTATTTTAAACTCGGCCATGCGAAGCCGATTCCGGTGACCCCTCGGAAAAATGCGCTCCCGTTGGCAGGGTAACACCTTACAGGATCATCTAACGTGAAAAATATGTGTTTTAGTGAAAACCTTAACTTAGAACTTGGACGAAGAAAAAAAATTAAAATTGATTTTTGCAGACATTTTTTTTTTTTCGAATAACAAGTCGTAATCGAAAAAAATTCTTCGTTTAAGTCCTTTACAACTGAATCTTAAAGACCTGTCTGAAATTTCAAGAATTTYGGTTGAGTAGTTCCGACCGACTTCAAAAACACAGCTTCGAGAAAAACGCTTTTAAAGACGACGCWCTTAGCCTAGCTAGCATAGAGCGAACAAGTTCTCAAGGCTGTAGCTCCGAAACTATTACTCGAATCAACTTCAAAATTTAGGACAATATTCTAGAGGTGTTGTAGAATTTAATAAGACAATAAGAATAATTAATTTTTTGAAACCTGTAAACCCACGTAACCCCTTAATCGAATTCCTTACAAATATCCGGTGATTTTAAAAGAAGTTTTCACTTAGCCAAAAGGTTTTTCGAAATTAAGGAAATCTAGTATTGCAACATAGAGCACTTAAACTTTATAATTATTGATTTTTTACTTAAATACTGGAAATGAATACATACATGAAGTTTTGTGGGAGACATTCATTAAAATTTTAGGGATAAAAAGTCGTTTGATCTACYTTTAAAGCCACCGCCTTCTTGAATTTACGCTCAAACCTGGAACGGGAAAAGTCGTAGATTTTTTTTGAAACTCAATGAGAATAAGTTGCCAATGTGGCAAATGATGGTTTAGCTTGCGATTCGAGTTGTTATGACCACAATATTAAATCGTCAGCTTTGATTCAAGATAAAATATAGATAACTTTAAATAAATTTTAAATCAAAACAAGATACTGCAGCTTAAATCGACTTAAGTAATTTTAACATATAATTATTGAGATTAATTCTCGGAAAGTGGTCAATTTTATTTACACCTACTTATATACATACATACATATGTGAATCCCTGTTTGGAAATTATAGCAAGCACATATTAACAACAACAAAGCGGCAAACTGGCTGCTAGTTGACGCAGTATAGACCAATATACATACATATGTATGTAAATAAGTTTRTATTGAAATGTGTGCTTTTAAMTAGAAAAAATAAATAATTTCATATGGTTTGGTTCTAAATCAGCTACTCACTTTTATATTATGTATCATGTTCACATATAAAAACTAAAATACATACATACATACGAATATGTCTAAATAGCGCTACATTTTGCAACAAGTCGCTAACTGAAACTAAACAGTTCAACGGAAGAGAACAGATGCAGCCAAAATAGAAAGCTACCGAATTAATTACGGTGTAGGCAACTTTTTTTTGCTAAATTCTGTTCTACACTTTGCTACATTTAGTTTCGAGCATTTGACTTTTTTTCATTTCATTAGCGTTTTCGTGTTTTGTTTACCTGTATTGATTTAAACAATTTCTTTTTTGCGCGACCAGTCRCCGCTAAAATTTCATTGAACGCGGACGAAAAACGAAAAAAAAATCATTTCAAAGTAAAAAAAGCTATAATCAAAGAAACAAAAAATAAATTTAAAAAAATATTGAAACAATCCATTAAATCTCCATAAACAATTAGAATAGCTCTATTTAAGCTAAAAATACGGTAAAATACACATATGTATGTATATGATCGCAGTAGAAAATTTAGTTTAAAATTATACAATTCTTTATTATTTTGTAAATACTATTTTATACAGACAGACATATATACATATGTTCATATACACATATGTATATAAAAAATTCATTTAACCGAAAACGTTTCAAGTTTGTTAAACGGCGGACGCGGGAGCAGAGAATGTAAACGGTTTCATTGGCCCAGACCTCGATGCGTGACTTACATTTTAATGAAATTCTCAAGTTGAATTAACTGGCAACTCACTACTCCGGCTGCCTTTTAAACTGTTCACTATTGTTCATATTTTTTTATTTTACATTCAAGTGTGTTAAACCGAGTAACTTAAAATGCATTTTAATTTATATATTCATAAAAGAAATTGGAACAGGCATGTACATTAGGATGGCATATTTTTCTGTAAATCAGAGTCGTCAGAGACGGGATCGGCTTCTTGTAAAATTATAAACATTTAGTTATATAAATTTTCGTTTCAATTTCTTATAATTAATTTAGATATTATTAAGTTTGGCAGTCAGTCTGGGTCAAAATTGATCTTGAGAGTTGATGTAATGCTTCMATGGGAGCAGTTTATGGCTCCACACATTGCTAAGCACCGATTTAGAAWATAGCGAACAGAATGAATTATAAAAACGTATTTGAAGCTCGAAAGCAATATAGAACTTAACGGTGACACCGTTTACACATACTCTACAAATTTTTGGAATATGCTATGTTAATATACGAAAAGGAGTACAACATTATCAGCCTACCACCGAACTGCAAAAGGCCTATACTCGTATAAAAAGCTTTTTTTTCTCAGTAAGGCTTTACCAAGACCTTTGGAGTGAAATTATTAATAGAACCTACATAAGTTCCCCGCAGAATAACTCTTGCCAACATTTGCCACTTCGGACYGAGTAGGCCATTGAGAAGTAAAATTCTCTCACGACGAACAAAAACCAAACTCTATAAGTCACTCATTATTYCCATCCTGCTACATGATGCAGAGGCATGGACGATGACAATATCCGATAAGTCGACGTTACGAGTACGACGAATACAGCATTCGATGGAACTATGAACTGTATGAGSTATATTATATGACAACATTGACATAGGTCAGCGAATTAAACCCAGCGGTTACGCTGGCTAGGTCATTTTGTCCAAATGGACGAAAACACTCTAAAAGTAGTACCGCCGGGGAAGCAGAKSAAGAGAAAGTCCTCCACTTCGTTGGAAAGACCAAATGGAGGACATTTTTAAAATCATATTTCCTAAACTATGTGATTGTATGTGAGRTACCTTAATGAAACCCAGGAAACATTATGTGGGCATGTGGCATGATAATAGTTAATAGATAAAATCGGGTTGATACTACTCTCATGCAATGATTTTGTGTATGAGTTATATAATTGCTTATATTTTGATCATCTGGTTGACACTTTACACCTTAAGGTATTTCCCTGGCCTTGATTAATGCAAGTTACAAGAGTATAAAATGTTCGGCTGCACCAAAACTTAGCCCTTCCCTACYTGTTKTATTTGAAATCTCTCTCTCTCTCAAACCCTTGAACGTTTCATTCAACTTTAATCCAGTAGCATTTTTAACAGTAGCTTTACCCGCTGTGCGGTCTGCATATACTGACAAGAGAGATATGTATACTCAAATATCAACTCGAAATTGAAATTTATTACCGCTATTAGTGATTATTAGTAGCTTTGCAATTCGCAAATTATTTTATATAATTCCAATTTGATTAGTTTTCTACGAAAAGTTCGATCAAATCGATTGTTTGTAGTTATTTACACTTTTTAATGATTTTAGTCAATACGAAAATACATATGTATGTGTGGTCCGCCCACTAATATTGTGGATATAATTAATAGTTAAAGCTGTTTAAATGTATTATGGAAAAATGTAAAAGTAATGAGAAATATGAAATCTGAATAATAATTTGTTGTGTGTAAAAATTACTTTGCGACAGTGACAATGCCCATTCATTTCCAACTTTTGTTTATGTTTTCTTTTAAAATATTCGATCTCTCCTTTCATCATTAAATTTACACCTAATAATAAACAAAAATATCTCTTCCCCATTTCGACTACTTCTAAGGTCTGCCATTAATTAAGACATGAAAATTCATGAGCTTTAAAATTTATTTGGCAATAAAGTTAGCAAGAAATAATTGAATTGACATCTGTGTATTGGTATAGGTGTATGCAATGAATATACGAGCTAAAAGCTATCAATATTCAAAAATCCGAAAAATATGTATAATTATTGAGGTTCTGTTTGCTCTTAAAAATTATGAAAACTATATATTATAATTTGTTTATTTTTAATTAAGAATAAATAAAGAGTTTCTCATACATACATATGTATATATTTACAATTTTATCTCGCTCCCTTTTTCAACTTAAATTACCATGAACCACACAAACCATCTCACTGAATATTTTGCTGTATAGGTATATACAAAGCGCCAGTGGACAAAGACGCAAAGTGTCTGGATGCGAAAGCTGCCCTCAGACTCAGAGGATCTGGCTGCGAGCAGACTTTGATTTCATTCCAATAACTTGGAGTACCAGGTCGCCGAAACTAGCCCTGAATATATCCTCTCTGTTTATATGCCCTCGAGTAGGAGCTCCGTTGGCATCTTATGKTTGACTACTGCTCTGTTGGACCTCAGACGAAAATAGCAAGTGCTGGTCTATGGTCTTGGAAACTCATTGCTTTAAGCAAGGCTCACCTTTCAATGGTTATAAGAGTTCTGACGATTTTGATAGGATTGCCTGTCAACTGCATCAGCTGTTTGGAAGAATATGAGATGAGAATGAGAATCAYCTCAACCCTTCCTTCTGTACCGCTTTAGCCAGATCAAGTCAAAAACATCTTAGATCTCAGACTTTTATGCATCCAAGTGAAATAGCGGAGATGAAAATAAAACACCTAAGCAGATTTGTGATAGGTTYAGCTGATACTCAACTGAAGGATCAGCCGCCYTACCTAACCTAACATTAGAAAACATGAAACATATTCTTTCTTTGCAGTCAATTATTATTGCCTCCGAGGGTTTCAAAATTCATCACTAAAATTTTTTGAGTTTACGAAAAACTGCTACCGTTTGCAGTCAAGTTTTAAAAGATCAAATAAATTCATTGCTTTTCATAGTAAATGTGTATATTTTTCGTAAAAATTGTGTAAGAAATCTGTTTATTAAAAAAAAAAAAATATTTATATACCGATTTATATTCCAGCGCAKAGACAAATCAAGATGGCATCACAACTACGTTATGCTTGCGCGGCCTTGACCTTCATGGCCATAGCCTCAATCGTGCTTGCCTTTACCGATACAAACCCCGCGGAATTTGAAACGGCGGCGYCGGCAGTGCAACAAGCTGCTAGCAGCTATAATTATTTCCGTCTGCCAAGATCCCTGAAACCACAAAAATACACGCTACATGTAATCACACATCTCGAGAATCCCGAAAACTTAACATTTGTAGGTGAGGTCGCCATGCATTTGATCGCATTGGAGGACACAAGCAATATCACGTTGCATGCTCTCAATCTCACCATAAATAGTAATGAAATTATTCTACGCAATCTGATTGCCAAAGAGAGCGAACAGAAAAATTGTGTTCGCTCCACAGAGGTGAACAGTTACCATGACTATTACATAACGCATTTGTGCGAACCCCTGCGTAGGGGAGAGGAATACATACTCACCATACCGTTCTCGGGTATATTAAATTTGAATTTGCGTGGTTACTATCGCAGTTCGTATGTGGATCGTGCAAGCAATCAGACAAAGTACGTAAGCCTATGCGCCAAGATTTACCTACTCCAAACAACTTCTATGTAATTATTTTTGATGCTTTTAGATGGCTTGCGGTTACACAGTTTGAACCGGCGTCGGCGCGTTTGGCATTCCCCTGCTTTGATGAGCCAGATTACAAAGCAAAATTCGTTGTTATACTCGGACATCACAATAAATACACGGCCTTGAGCAATATGCCTCTGAAAGAGACACGTCCTATGTAAGTCTTGTTGCTTGGTGTTTCAAGAATTATTTTTATTTTATTTATTTTTACCACCATCAGGGCGGATAAAAAGGATTGGATTTGGAGCGAATTCGAAGAGTCTGTGCCTATGTCGACATACCTGGTCGCCTACACCGTTAACGACTTCGCCTATGTCAATTCAGAGACCAGTTTGAAGAATAAGGTGCAATTCCGCACTTGGGCACGCCCTGATGCCATCGATCAATGCAATTATGCCGCCGATGTGGGACCGAAGGTGTTACAATACTATGAAGATATTTTCAATATCAAATTCCCACTGGATAAAATTGATGAGATCGCTATACCCGACTTTAGCGCCGGTGCCATGGAGAACTGGGGCCTGGTCACCTATCGCGAAACTGCATTGCTATATGCGGAGAATGTGTCTTCTTTGGAAAATAAGCAACGTGTCGCTTCAGTCATTGCGCATGAACTGGCTCATCAATGGTTTGGCAATTTGGTCACAATGAAATGGTGGCAGGATTTGTGGTTGAATGAAGGTTTCGCCACTTATGTAGCTAGTTTRGGTATTGAACACATCAATCCCGAATGGCGTGGTTTGGAAAARGAGTCAGTCGACAATACTTTGGCTATATTCAAGCTTGACGCGCTCAAGAGCAGTCACCCGATTTCGCAGGAGATCACACATACGAACAAAATTGCCGAGATCTTTGACTCAATCTCCTACAAAAAAGGATCCACCGTTTTACGCATGATGCATCTCTTCCTCGGCGATGAGGCATTCCGCTCCGGTCTACATTATTATCTCAAGAAACACGCTTACGGCAATGCTGAGCAAGATGATCTATGGTACGCACTCACCGAAGCAGCTCACAAATTCCGCACGCTACCAAAAGCTTTCGATATCAAAACCATTATGGATTCGTGGACCTTGCAAACCGGCTATCCAATAATTACAATAACTCGTGATTACGATCGTAAATTGGCCAAGCTCACACAGGTTCGTTACTTACTCGATACATCTGCTTCGCGTGAAGACGAACGTAGTTGCTGGTGGGTGCCCTTGAGTTTTACGACTCAAAACGAGATTGACTTTGGTGCTACTACACCTAAAAACTGGCTACAATGCAATGAAATGAATGAGCCGGTAACTCAGACTCTTAAGGATCTTCCTGAGGCAAACGAATGGATCATTTTCAATATACAAATGTCCGGCTTGTATAAAGTAAAGTATGATGAACGCAATTGGAATATGTTGATTGACACATTGACCAGCGATGATTACCGCAAAGTCCATGTGATCAATCGCGCACACCTCATCGATGACGCTTTGACCTTAGCCTGGACCGGCGATCAGGATTATGACATCGCAATGCGTCTGATTGAGTATTTGGTACGTGAACGCGAGTATATTCCATGGAAAGCAGCTTTGGATAATCTCCGTGACGTGAACAGAATTTTGCGCCAGACTCCAGAGTACGAGTACTTTAAGGTAAGTGATTAGTGATAAAAAATTTAATCTTTCCGAAATGTAAAATATYATCTGAAATTTTGGAATGCTGCTCTGTATAATTAAATCAAACTGAAAATTGGAAATTCATGTCCCCAGCTTTTCTTCACTGTAAGTAGTAAGAAACACATACACAACTTACACCTCTGAAGAGAAACAGAAAGTGGCATCTCCACTACTATTTGCTTGAGTTTCACGAACTATGTACATAACAATGCTTGATATTTATATGAACTATTTTATTTTGAATCTCTCTTTACATTTTTTCTAAACATATTTTAGAAATATATGCGCAAGATACTCTCCCCCATTTACCTGTACCTCGGCGGTTTGAATGTGACTGATGAAATTAAAGCGGCACCGCATACYATACTCCACAAAGAGCTCATTGCCAACTGGGCCTGTCGCTTCGAAGTCGAAGATTGTATMCCAAGTGCGCAACAATATTTCAAGCAGTGGCGTGCCGTAGACAACCCCGACGAATACAACCCAGTACCAAAGGATCTGCGTTCAGTCATCTACTGTACATCTATACGTCATGGCAACGAAGATGATTGGCAATTCCTCTGGGCGCGCTATAAGAACTCGAACGTGGCAGCTGAAAAGCGTACCATAATCTCAGCTTTGGGTTGCTCACGCGAAGTTTGGATCTTACAACGCTATTTGGAATGGGCATTCGACAGTGAAAAACATATACGTCGACAGGATTCAACTTTCGCTTTCGGCGCYGTGGCACATGGTGAAGTTGGCTTCCACTTAGCACGAGATTATCTAATTACCAATATCGATTTCCTGCACGAATAGTAAATATTTGATTACAATTATGCTTTTGTGTTTTTCTATTTACCCTACTTCCTCCTTCTCGCATCATTGCAGCTTTGAACCAAATGGCTCTGAATTGCGTCGTCTCCTCTCGCCTATCGCTAGCCAAATGAGCAGTCAGCGTGAGTATGAGAAGATGAGTGCGTTCTGTGAGGAGAACAAACAACTTTTGCGCAAGGTCGAACAGGGTGTCCAACAGGCTTTGGAGACGATTAAAATCAATGCACAGTGGAAGGAGCGCAATTACAATGAAATTTCGCGTCGTCTACGTAGCCGTCTAACTGTGGACGAGTTTTAAGAGATGCAATTACTCAAGCTCGTCATAGAACGTAGCAATAAATATTATGTATTAGTTTTTATGTACTCCCCTGTGGAAGCTTTTACGGCATTATTATTTTTTAATACACGCTGGATTCATATTTTTTATTTAAAAATATCACCAGCTCATGATGTTTTAWGACGACGTAATGTGTATGTGAACAAAATATTTAAGTGAACAGAATTTCATATATTTCCGAAAATAAAAATCAATAAATAGTAAAAAAATCTAATCTTCTTATTTCAAATATCGCATCAATTCGTAATGACCAGTTAAGTATAGTCCATAGCCTTCCGCATCATYGGTGCCATCGTCATAGCAGCGGTATGTGCCACTTGCAGGTCACTGAAAACCCCCTCTCTAAGGAACCGACCCCCTACTTGGGACCGCATWTGCATTACTTCAGGGTGGCGTTCCATTTTTCTCATTGAGAGATTTACATCTGGGCAAYTGTGTCCAGRTCCCGCTTTTTGCTGCGAAGCAAAATTGTTGCGAATTTATTGATAATCTCCCAGTTTGCTCTCCACTCTCCAACATGACATTTATTGGGCCAACCAGGTTTTCTACGGCAGTGTGTTCTCGTTGCCAACGCATACATTCAAATAATGTGTGTTCAGCATCGTCTTCTGMGCGTCGTTATATWGGCATGACGGCTCTTCGACTTTTCCCATTCTGTGGAGGTACTTTTTGAAGTATCCATGACCGGATAATAGTATTGTAAAAGTCGACTTCTCCGAATTTACGGCTTGTCCATAAGTCTAGATCTTTTGTTARCCTGGCCGTTCATATGCCGCGACTTTCATTCTTCCATCTTTGTTGACATGTTGTTGTTGTATCTTTCCTTATTTGTTGTATTGCGCYCTTGTTATTATCGGATGATTTCTTTAGTTCTCACAGCTTTTTCTTTTCATATGCTAGAAGGTCAATTGGGGCATTACCGCTTATAACTAATATTGCATCGCCTGATACTGTTCGGTAGGCTGATGCAACTCTGAGTGCTGTGGTTTCTGTCCATTACCTTACGCCGGTTTTCCTTTTTAAGCGCGTATGCCCAGATCTCGGCTCCGTATAGTAAGACGCTGATTGTCGTCGACATTAGAAACTTTCTCTTTTCTTGGCTGGGGCCTCCTATGTTGGCCATTAATCGGCTCAGTTGAGAGGTGATCTTCGCTGCCTTTCCTGCGGCGTGCTGGATTTTTGTTTCGGACTTCTAGAGTCGCCAGTAAAACTATTCTTTTATTTCTTCTTTCTTCTGTGTATGCATTCTACGCTGCGCTGCTTCTACGCTTTCAATGACGCATATTATAGCTCCTATAGTTGATCTGCCGTGTCTGAAGCCATGCTATCTAGGGGRCAGTCCTCCAGCTTTGTTGATAGCCGCTTCGAGTCTGGATCCTACACATAGAGGGACAGTGGCTCATAGTTATCTCCATTAGTGATCATAATAGTTCGTTAGTTTGCAAGTATCCGAGATCTGCACAGATCTTTACACAACTTTCAAATTCTATAAGAACACGTTCCATAAGCTTTCCACCGATCTTTTAACTAGGAGAAAATAATACATATTTAAGTGCAGTTGGATCTACTTGACCGGAACTGGGAACTGGGGACGGWTTTGAGTCCAGTCATCTGCTATTAACTTTTCGGCTAACCTCAGAATTAATTGAAACATGTTTTCTATCACTACAACATAAGCATTTCTGACTTGAAGCCAATTTAGATCAAACTTTAAATATTGTGAGATTCTTTTAATATACTTTAACCTTCTACTAAAGAAAAGATACATTTTGTAACTGCGCAAGAATAGACATTCGACTATAWGCTTAATACAATTGCACCAGATCTTCAAAAAAATTGGAAATTTTTCATTAAGTACCCTATTCCAATGTATGGTAAATTAATAATAACAAAAATATACAAAACAGTATAGAAGAAGACAATAAATACTAATAATAGGAAAAAGAGGTCGAGCTACACAACCAGCTCTCTTGATGTCGCCGAAAGTCGCTTTGACGTTCGCTCGCACTCTGACAACTTGAGCACATTTACATATTTACATAAGAAAACAAATGCACTGGTTTATAGCTAGAAGTAGCGCCATCCTCCAGCATCGCCTCTCGCATCCAATCTGACATTAGTCTTAGCTTCTGCTATGTGAGTCAAAAATTCACTCGAATGTTGTACGATCATTTATCTTTGCAATTAATTGTCTCCAAGCGAATCAAAACTACTTTAGGATTCTCATAAAAAATACCCAATTGATATTTTGTTAATAAGAATTACATTTTTATTTCAATTTTTTGCTCACTTACTCTCATCGGCTTACTTTCAGTACTATGTTTCATTAGCATTAATAATCATAATCAGTTAATTACATACTTCCTTTTTGTTCCATAATAATTACATTATTATTTAATACTAATAATAATTGTTATCAATATTATATATATATATATATACTTATGTATCTATAATGGTACCCACATAACTAGTTCTCATACATGTATAT